TGGCAGTCGAGGTCAGGTCGTGGTGCAAGGTGTCGTGGGTAGGGAGGGCCGGCGCTTTACGGCCAGCGCTCCGCTACCATGAAAAGCGTGTAGCGCTCCTTTTCACAAAAGGAAATTGGGCCTAAAGGTTGCGTGTACAGTCCCGATTTGTGCGTGACATCTGTGCGAGTGGCCGTGTGCCATGACTGATCCCTAACTTCTCTTATATGTAGTATGTATGTATATTTGTATGTATGTAGGTATGTATCCGACATAATTTGACATATTGCAGCCACTGGACACGATGTCATCTTCCTGTGAAAAGTGTGCCATTGGCACTGTGCTTATTACTGCAAGTATGCCCGCAGGTCCATCAAACTTGACTCTGACTTTTGTTCAAGGCCATGTCTTGCTTTCGCCCTGCTCTGATCCTGATTCAGCTCCATCATGGGAAAATAACTGACAAAATCTGCAACGCTGCTCCACCTCCAAGCAAGCTGCTGAAATTCGACCTTGTAAGCGATGACCAGCCCATACTAAGCAATCAGGAAGCCAACACGCTACCTGACAAGTTCCAAACAAAAGTATATAACTATATATAGATATGTAATATACAATAAATAAATATATATAATATAAATAGATATATAAATATCAAGTGGCTCATCTACGGACACAGCACACATCAAACACAAAATGGAAACCACGAACCTGAGCGCAAACACGCACTCGAAAACAAACGGGCAAACATAGTTTGACACTCTTGTAGAGCACTCTTGTGGGACACTCTCGTAGGGCACTCTTGTGGGACACTCTTGTGGAAACTGTTCTGGGCACTCTCGCGCGACACTCGTGTGGAACGCTCGACTCTAGCGGACACTTTGGTAGGACACTCTTGCGGCTTGCGAGAGACGCTCTTAGACACCCTTGTGGGACAGTCTTGCGCAAAACTCTTGTGGGTCACTCTAGCGTAGGACACTCTTGTAGGATCTTGCGCGAGACACTCTTGTAGAACACTCTTGCCAGTGGAGCGCTCTTTTGGAACACTCTTGTGGAAACTCTTGCGGGGCACGCTTGTAGGACACCTTGTGGGGCGTCAATTGTCCGAAACGAGCGTATCGTACGAGACCTCAGTCCCCCCCAAATGTCGCATGTCATGAAAGTCTCCAAGCCGAGCGTTTCGTACCATGCTTCCTCCAAAAGTCAGACGTCAAGTCTCCAAAACAAGCTTTTTGCACGCGACCCCCTTCAAAAGTAACACGTCAAGTCTGCAAACCGAACGTTTCGTATGAGATCCTCCAAAAGTCATGCATCAAAGTCTCCAAAACTAGCGTTTCGTACGGTACTGGGAAGTCTCACCAGAGCAAATACCCTGCAGCCCTGCCAACCAGTTTCGCAATCTAGCCCCTTGCTCCTGCCACGAAAATCCAACTTTGACACCTCAACACAGCGCCTGCCAGGAAAGTGACGGTATGACATGTTCAGCCATGTTCGTGTCTTCCGCAAATTTTGCACCGCGCCACGCGTTTGGAAGAATTTCGACTCGTGCTCCGCACACCCCCACCCACAAAAATCGCCACTTAGCGGAGACTTGTTACAAAAACACAGCTTCCAAGCAACAGCCTGAAACGCAAATCCCAATGTCACAGCCACATCCAACACCTCGACTACACCACCCTCTAGACGCCAATCCCAGTCTGACGGCGAAGAAAACTGATCTCACAAAAACACTGCACCAGCCCAGCAAATTTATCCTCCACACTTCATCCTCTTACGCTCCCACAAGTTTCCTCCCAATTTCACACGAATCTGACACATCATGCTCCATCAAAAACCCTCTCCAAAAGCTTCGCAGAATGTCAGCGCCATAGCGCCCTACCGCGGGCGGTTGCGAACACATGCGAATGGTTGCGGTGCCCCCAGACCCGCAGAGTTAAACGAGAACCCTTCGCTTCGCATTCGGGGAAACAGTATATAACGAAGAACAGTTGAGTACGAACACTCGCCTCAATTGCAATCAAACGAGCGTCCAGCGGACCTTGCGGCTCAGGGATGGTTGGAGTTGGCCATGGCAATGTGAACGGGTTGGTTGATGCGTATCATTCATTCATATTTCATCATATTTCATGGTTCATCTTTTTGTATCTTTCTATTCAAAGAATACATTACTTGATTTCATACAATCTCATTATGTTGCAATCAATCTGCTGTTCTGTATCCAGTGCTCCACCTCCGCGAAGAAGTCCGTCGTGCAATGAAATCGCCCAATGTCACGATCATGATCGCTGAGTGGTTCACGAAAAGGCAACACAATGCTTGGCACGGCCTTGGCTGTAGCTTTCATGAGTGGCAAGGAGCCTGCGGAAGAAATCCGGCGCCCTTTTGCAGAAATGCTAGCTTGTTGCGATTTGCGCGTGCCAGGCTGTAGAAGGTTAAGCGCGTAAGGTTAGCCGGGGCCGGTATTACGAGACATACACCACATACCCCTCAACGACTCAAGGTCCCCACCTCAAAATCAAAGTGTTGATCTTCAAATCGGGTCTGAGATCCTGTCCGCAAGTTCTTGATACATCATATAAATGAGTCTCAACTCAAACCCTGCTTACAAACTTCGATCCAAAAAGCGACCTCAGCCATTTGGACCTGGGACAACAACCTCAGGCACAACACCAAGGTCCACCAAGAACGATTGGCGCTATTAAAGACGCTCACACCCCCGGGCCCCAGTGTTTGGAAAGCTGAAGCTCTAGAGGCGCCTGTCTTCCATGCCTGAAGTTGTTTGGCCGCAGCGTGGCCGATTTTTTGAAGGTTGTCTAGGTAGTTTAAACTTGTCAGGCAAAGAGTTGTATTGTTACATATTCTTGAGCTGTTGTTTTTTGCGTGGCCTGTCCCGTCGTGTAACAGCTCTGTCATTAAGTCTGATCATGAAGGGATACACCATAGGAAACTTTGGGCTGGGTACCGCAACACCTCTGAAACGCAGATTCTGTTTGTCGTTCTCTGCGCAGGCTATGGACATTTGCCAAGCCGTGATTGTTGGAATCGGAACTTTCTCCAGAAGAGCAGGCATTGTCTTTCAGAAGAGTCTAGAGGATGAAAGCTATTTGTAACATGTTGGAACCATGAAATACAAGACAGTAATATTGAAACATCGTCGCGTCATGACTTTGTAGACAATCGCTCACATGTTCAGTCCAAGCGCCCGACGTCTGGCGAAGGTAAGAACCGCACCATGTGATGAGTAACCAAATCACGTCCCATTGCTTGCAGCCCTGCCAGATCAGACACTTCCAAATCAGAAAGCAGTTGTATCAAAGGCCAGTCTCGAAGACCCCTCACCATGTCTTCTATCTTCACTTTTGAGGTCCACATGTGCAGGAGCTGTGCTGCAGAGCGAGCAAGCGAATGCACTTCAGAGAATATCTGCGAAGATGAGAGTACATCGCCTGAACGCAATCGTATCTCTTGAGCTGATGCCAATAAAGCAACTGCTTGCCCCAAACCGTCAGAGGGAGCAGCAAGTTCAAGTATTGATGCAGACAGGGGCAACGGACGCCGAGATCGAATTGCCCTCCAAAGCTCTCTTTGCAAAGGTGACCAGTGGGGAAGCTCGGTGAAAACCTCCCAAATCACTGGCGACAAAGCAGAAGCTCTGCGGCGCCCCAGCTTCCGCCTGCCTGCAAGGCCTAACAGTCCAAACAATCCCAAGCGTGAGCGTAACGTCTGTAAGAGAGTCTCCTCACCTGCAGACAAAATCTCATGAACAACCTGCGCCAAGTTGGCCTCTCCAATAGGACTGTCATCAGCGAAGCTTGATGCATTCAGCAAACGCAGAGCCCAGCCCGTGGCTGGACACTGAGGAAGAACGATCCACTGAGAAGATTGGGTCTGTTGCGTCTGTACTTTTTGCAGCAACTCTTCTCTGTACTCTGGAAAGAACTTTGCTCTCCGTGTTGTAAGCCGACGAAGCTCATAACCTCACGCGTGCAATTAATGTATGGCAAATCACGAAAAACTCGAACTTCACCTGGCCTTCTGCGTTCTGTGCCCAATTCAGGCAAGCGCTGGGGACGCCCCCCGGCCAGCGAGATTGCAAGCTTTCGTTGGTCTCACCTGGAACCTGAGACACAGGGGACACCCTGGAGAACCCTTCACAGGGGTGCGCGCAGCGTGCCACAAAATATAAACAACCCAGTCATTCAATAATCGCTTCGGAGTTTGGCACCTTGACAAGGTGTCCACTCACTACAGCAAAGGAAGCGATCTGCAACGCAGACATGTATGGTCAGAATGTGCTGATGTTGTCCAAAAACATGCCTCCCTTCACATAGCTGTCCTACTTAAGGGCAGATTTCCACCTGGTTCTAACCAGAAAACAAAAACACATACAGCCACCGTTGGCCACCGCCCCAAGATCTTTTAAGCGTTTTAAGACTCATCGCGTGAATGCCATCCCGTCCATGTTTGGGCTCACAAAAGAGGATTGAACATGTCTTTACACCTAAGTCTCCCTCCATGTTTACAGTCATGATCGATTCTCAGACTCTCTGGGTCCAACTCTCCCCAACCTTGCAACTTTGCACCTTGAGGCTAAAGGCATGACGTGTGGACAGGCAGGGTCGGATTTGCTCAATGATTTGAGAACTTTGAAGACGCAAACCAAAATCTCAAAACGTTCAAGACCTGATACCATTGACGACACTCTTTCTCCTACGCGCAGCATTCAATCATGTCACGCAATCCCGATGTTGAGAACCCACATTGAAACCAAACGTCAGAAACAAACTAGGTCTTGTGGCCCTTAAAGGGAAATTCCCACGCACATTTTTTGTTTTTGCTGAAGTTTTTGCAAACACCTCGGCCTAGACCCGCAAAATGAAGTGGATGGAACTAGCAAGTCAGCTGCTTATGGAAAATCAAAACCTTGCAGCTACTCGCACAAACCTGCCCAGCACTCTGCAAACGTTGCCTGGCGATCTTTTAGAAGCCAGCTTCTCAGCGGGCGAGGCCAGTGTAAAAGCTCAGCTCCCCAACTTAAAAGCGTTGGCCATCCTGTTGCAAAGCTGCGCAAGTCAGTGCCTTCACCTTCATGCAATAATTCCCCAAGCAGTGTGGGCACACTGATGGGTTCTTACGGTAAGTGAAAAGCAGGTGTGCTTAGGCTTAGATCGCTGTTCCGCGCGGCCGTGTCCGGCCAATTCGCTGCTATTTACAGCACATTCATGCCTCTCGACATCATCAACGTGCATTTCGACTGCGCAGGCTGCCGCGGCGGGTGCTTCTAGCGACTGCGCTCTCGTTGTGGTGCCGCGCGCATTTTGGTACATGGTGGTCCCTTTTCGTGGCAGGCGCAAGGGAAACCTCGTGTTTTGGTTGGTGCTCCAAAGTCGAATTTTCGTGACAGGTGCAAGCAATCGGAACTGTTTTACTTCACAATGCAGTTTTCTTGGCAGG